GACATTTATATTTCTGGTCATTAACTCTGGTAGTTCTGTGAAAGCGGCTTCTCTTTTCTGTGTGGGGACCACGTGAATTGTTTCACGTGAACGAGTGAAGCCGCGTGAATTGTTTCACGCATGAACTGGACGCGGAACCCAAGGCCCACCCGAGTTCATTAATTGTGGCTATAAATGCACACGGAAATTTATGCCTAGGGTTGTGCAAGGAGTCTTTTGATTGGCAGCTGCAAGTAGCATTGAGGGCTTTGTTTTCTTTTGCGGCAGGAGAAAAAGGCAGAGCAATTGAGCGCAGGCTTTGCGGCTTGGACAAAAAGGTGAGAGCACAGAGGTTGGAAGCTACAGTTGAAAAGAAAAGAAGAGGCTTTTCTTTTAGGGTTTTCTTGTGCATCCTTTTTTGTAGAGAGATATTTGTGAGGGATTTGAGAGAGTTTGTTTGAGGGTTTAGATTGAGTGATTGTAAACCCTAGTTGTATTCTCTCCCTCTATTAGTAGATCTCCCCCCTCCTTGCCCCGTGGACGTAGGCAATTTGCCGAACCACGTAAAAATTGGTTGTCTCGTTATTTGTGTGATTTGTAATAGCTTTTTAGGTTCCCTCGACGCGCAGTCCTAGAGCTGACGAGAGGAAGAGCTAATATCCTACTTTGATAGGATATAGGCTTCAGATTCTTGTTCCCTTTGAGAAACAAGAATTCTTATTACGACCTAACTCTTGTTGTGCTGTCGAAGTGCTGCCGAAATTTCCGCTGCGCGCAACAACACCATGTTTTAAATAAAGAAATTTTTGGTAATAAAAATCCATGAAACATAATAAACACAAACCTTTGACATTTCTAGCGCTGAACCTTAATTTTAGCCTTATTTCCCAATCTTGCTTAAAAATCCAAAGTTGATAAGTAATATTATTGTCCGTATTGAACGGTTAAAAGTGTTCAAGTGGGGTTTAAAAGAATGAAGATATGGATTTGATTCACTATGTAATTGTTTGGACATTTTCTTTCCTGTCATTCTTTTAAATCTATTTGGATCTTCATCATAGTTCGATGGTAGCCTACTAAAATGTAACATATTTCTTACCTGTCATTCGTTTTTATATATTATCTCACTTATTCTCGGTTGTTCTCCCATACATTTGTTAAGACAAAGAAATAAATAAAAATTTGATGTTAATATTATGGAAGAGATAGTCAAATGGCTTAATCAACAAAATTGCTAGGACAGATTTTTAAAACCAACTCTTTTTTTAGATTTATTTTCAAAAATCGACCAATTTGAGTTGGCAAAAACTAGGTCGAAAATGTGAAATAAATTGTTAAAACTTCACGGGATTTAGAATCCCGTGATTTTAGTCCTTAATTTCATGCGGTTTAATTAAGGACTAAACTTTTCTAAATCCCATGAAGTTCAATATATAGTTTCAAGTTCAAATCTAATATGGTTGCAATAATTGGGTAAGTGGTTAGCTCAAAGAAAGCTAGACTTTAATTATTCAAGTGGTCTTGAGTGGGAATCTCATCTCGGGGTGGAAATGAACCAAATAATTAACAAATAGTTCGATAATTGTTCGAATAACTATTTGGTCATATTCGATTCGGTAGTTCATTTACCACTAAACAAATATATTTTAGTATTCAAGTTTACTCACGAATAGAATTTAACCAGATATATATTCGATTCGTTTGTCTATTAAATATTCGTTTAAAATTTGCACAACTTATTATTTGTATTATTACACATATGATGTTATATTTTTAACCCACTTATCATTCCTACTTAAGTTTTATATACTAATTTTAAGACTTAAATAATCTTAAATCTGTTTTCTAATTAATATCTTGATTTAAACATATATACATCGTATATTATAAAGGAATAATTTTTATTTATGAATTTTAATACTATTTGAAAATCATCAAATTCTTTAGCGGAATAAATATACTTTGATATTCGATAAATATCCGTGAATATTCATGAATATTTATCAAATACCTAGTATATTCGAGTTCGAATTCGAAAAACTAGATATATGAATATTAGAGTCTGCATCCGAATTCGATAATTTTAAACAAATACAAATACGAACACTTTAGTATTCGATTTGATCGTTTACCACCCCTAATTTCATCCTAACATGTTTTTTCCTTGAATAGTAAAATGAATTTACTAGGCTAGGATTTGAACCATACACTTCCTAGTTCCTATCCAAGCCTTATAAACTAATGCTACAACCATTAAACTCACTACACCTCATTGCTTGATTTTGTGAAGTTTATTTATTATAAACTTTATGGGATTTAGAATGCCGTGAAGATTGGTAGCAAGGGGCTGTTTGGTTCGTTTTTAAACTCGATGGAAAAGTTTTACACCGCCTCCACATCAGATTTTTCATGGCCACGTAGGATATAAGCTTTACGTTAGTTTTTTTTCCCCATCTTTGGTTCGCTAGGGTTGAAGAAGGAAAACTCGGTGAAAATCGTCGCTACATCAGATTTTTTCTCTCCCCCAATTCCTTCCTCAACCTCGTGAAATCGACGAAAACTGCAATCACGTCAGCTTTTTGCCATATAAACAAAAGTTTTCCCTTTTTTCCATGCGAACCAAACACAAGAAAAATAAATACATTGGTTTCCCACCATTTTTTATGCAAACCAAAGCGAAACAATCTATTTCTTGGAAAAGTTTGGAAAACTCAAAACTTGTGTTTTTGTACATGGAAATGCATTTCCCTATATCTAGAAAACGAACCAAACAACCCCCAAACAACCACATGCGCCAAGCTTTTTTGTTTAGCGCTAATTAATTAATGACTAAACTTCATGGGATTAATGACTTTCGGTGTTTATGAATATTAAAAAGTAATAGAGACACCACTACTATTTTTGGAGGGACTTGTTTTCAATAGCTTTTAAGCTAGGTTAGGGTTTAGTGACTTTCGGCAATTATGATTAAAAAATGTATAAAACTTGTTTTAACATTTTATGATAAAAAATGTATAAAAATTATTTGAATAGAATATTAATTTGTTTGGGTAAACACAACTTATTGGTGAGCTTATATACTAGTTTTTCAAAAGCTAGGGTATACTGGCTTTTTAAATTTAAGCTGTTTTATTTAGGTTTTTACCAAATTAGATATGAAAATGTTAACTTAAAAGTCAGTCTGTCTAAAAAATAAGTGTTGTATCACAGAAATGACTAAGCGTTAATCCCACTCCATGAGTCGACAAGTGTTCCGAGTTAATTATGCACAAAATCGACTCGATCCTTTGCAGGATAAGTCAAATAACGTCATCACTTGACCCTTTCCAAGAAGGACCGAGTCGAAAGTACCTACTATTGAGGCCAACTCCATGCCTTTTCATTTTATAAGACCAAGTTGAAAAGCCCCCAGTCCCAAATGGCCGAATCAAAAAGGCGTCTTTTATCGACACTCTCGCAAAGCCGAAACGAAAGGTGATCATTCCGTGCCTCTGGCCGATAGTCGACCACCATCACACTAAATGCACGGTCTGAATCACAATTACATCTACCCTGGAAGTCTTAGTGACTTGTTGGACCTCGTCAGCACCTTACTCCCCCTATCACTATCGCATTAGTCACAAAGGTGGCTCATACTACCCGTAGCCGGCACCTGCAAAGTATTAGCTGAATAAGCTGACTACTTGGACTCGGCCGAAGTTACACAATTGCCCTCCTGGATCTGCTATAAATAAGTGCATTGCCTATTGCATGGAGGTACGTAATCTTTTGCAGTATAACACACTACAATCGTACTTTTCTCCTCCATTTAAGATCAATATATACTAACTTGATCATCGGAGGAACCCCCGAAGAACTCAACTCCGATCCTCTTATGTATTACTTGTGTGCAAGATCGAGTCCTCTGTTCAATAATCAACCATCAGAGAAGACTGAGGAACCCTAAAGCTCTTTATAATCCACACTAGATTTTTATGTTTGGTATTTGACATCAACAATAAGCCATCCAAACTCCCTCTTAATACAAGTTGTTGGCTATTTAATAGATGATGATGGAGAGTATTAATTAATTTTAAAGGTAGTACTTATCATACCCTCGTGAATAACATTTCATCCTATTTATCCTCAACAAGACAAATCATAATATTTTATTAATTAACAAACGACAAAAAAATGTAGAAGTTATTACCAACCTCACTTTTTTGTGGGTAGTAGTTAGAAAATAGTATAACTCTTGTGGTACTTTTAACAAATTTTATATAGAACCCTTTTTCTAATATTGCATTTTTTCACTTATGATATTATGATATTAACATGGAAGTTAGTATCAACCCTTCTATTTTTTTCTGCAACTGAATATACCAATTTGATTATTTTTTCTATATAAAATTATGCCAAATTCACGTGAAATGTTGATATTAATATCATCATGTCGCAAGTTTGCAAATACGGCAATACCACTCTGATATTTTAGCCCTTTCCTTTCCGAGGCTTGTAATATGGGGCCAATCAAAAGAGTATTTTTGGGTTTTTACATTCATTCTGTATAAATACAAGTGCTGAAAGTATTGTATTTTGAAGATTGGGTTTAAAGACAAATACCAAAAGTGAATTGGGTTTAAAAAAACAACTAATAGGTGACGGATTAAAAGATAAAGCCAGGTAAACAAATTGGCCTAAAAACAAAAAAACCCCATCTTTTTCAAGGTTCCAGTCAGCACCACTGCGCCACGATAAAGACGGCCCAACTTCTAGCCGACCACAAGCCGACAAACGTAACGTAGTCCCGGGGGCCCACATCGTGATGACAGTACAAGAATGACCAGCCCCAGTGGATAACACGTACATCCCGATGTAGCCGCGTTTCTGTTTTACATAAATTTTTTTCCAAAAACCCAAAAACAATTCTTTTCGCTACTTAATACATTTTCTCGCTCCTTTTTTGCCCGCCTTCCCCGTTATCCATCTCTATCGCACTTTTCTACTTGCTTTCCACCGCCCACCAACCCCTCACGTTCCTTTCCCCCGCGCGGGATCAATCTCTCGGCACGTGCGCATCATGGCGTCAAAGCTACGCGCACGCTCGCGCCCCCTCCGCCCCCTCCTTTCTTCCTCCTGTTCAATTCCGCGATCCTCCTTAAAATTCCGCTCTTCTTCTCAAATAAAAAACGAAAACCAAAAAACCCCGGGGGTCTAGGGTTTTGATGATCTTTGATTATCATCTGACGGCTGTTTGATTCTCATGGAGGCGATTAGGAAGCAGGCCAGCAAGCTGAGGGAGCAAATGGCCAGACAGC